TAACAAGGTTGAAACTATTACTTTCAAGTTTCATTTAGCTATTTTTGACAGCCTTAGCAGGTTTATCTTTCTTACAAAGACACAAAAATGAAAATATACTATATCAATTCAAGCTACTTTCAATGACTAATATATTTGTTTAAGAAAATCCTGTTAGGCCGGGTGCTGTGGCTCACGCCTATAATCCCAGCATTTTGGGAGGCTGAGGCGGGAGGATCACGAGGTCAGGAGTTCAAGACCAGCCTAATCAACAAGGTGAAACCCCATCTCTACTAAAAATACAAAAATTGGCTAAGTGTGGTGGCGTTCACCTGTAATCCCAATTATTCAGGAGGGTGAGGCAGGAGAAACCCTTGAACCCAGGAGGCGGAGGTTGCAAGAGATCATACCTCTGCACTCCAGCATGGGCGACAGAGACTCCATCTCAAAAATAAAGAAAATCCTGCTGCAGGATTCTTATTATAAAGAAGTATCACATGTCTCTAAACAGAATATCACAATGCTAATTACCATGAAAATACCTATGAATACAGCTTACCCTTGAAATAAGAATATAACAGAAATATAAAATTCAAAGTAATCAAATAATCAGGCCAGGTGCAGTGGCTCATGCCTGTGATCCCAGTACTTTGGGAGGCCGAGGTGGGCAGATCACTTGATTCGCCTGGCCAACATGGCAAAACCCCATCTCTACTAAAAATGCATATATTAGCCACGCATGGTGGGACACGCCTGTAATCCCAGCTGTTTAAAAGGCTAAGGGAGGAGAATCCCTTGAACCCCAGAGGCGGGGGCTGCAGTGAGCCGAGATCACACCACTGCACTCCTGCCCGGGTGACACAGTGAGTCTCTGTCTCACCAAAAAAAACAAAACAAAACAAAACAAAACCACCCAAAACCCCAAAGTAATCAGTAAAGAAAAAAATTTATTTTTTCTCAAATGGCATTACTCATAATCTCTGAAAATATATATCCAAGATAGTCATGTACTTTTCCTGATAACTGGCATATGGTTTCACTCTCTACTTCATTCTCTGCTTTCATGACCTGAACACTTGCAATGACTTTTCTAGCACTCTGGCCTTAATTCCAATACCTGTCTCATCTCTCTTCCAATACTGAACTGATAATTTGTTCAAGGTCCTGAATTTTTAAAGTTCCTCTTCTGATCTTAAGTTTTGCATTCTACTTCTCTCACTTTATTCCTGCTGAGCCTGCTTAGCCTCCCTGAATACTACCAGCCCCTTCATCATCTCTCTCTCCCTAAATCCATCAATCCCTTATTCAAACCCAAACTCGAGTAAGTCATTCCAAAAATGCCTTGCTAACTATAACTAGCATCCTTCACTTCCTCACCTACTTGCCCATTCTGTCAACTCAATTCTAGAAAAACCTTTTTTCTCTGCTACTGTTGTCAAACTATCAAAAAGTGGGAAAATAGTCAAAAAAATGGCACTGACTGTGGTCACTATTAAGATATACTACACTCTACATATACATAAATACTTTAAAAAAGTAAGTTTACTCCATGACGTAAGGCACTTTGTTTAGCATATTGTTGTATCTCTAGTACTTTCGTCATTGCATAGCACGTTGCAGGGCATCCAAATTCATAAAAAAGAAAGCATTGCTATATATCTCCCATTGGCTTCTTAGTGGATTCTGTGGTGTCAATCTTACAGCCTTACTAGTTTCCCCAAGTCTCAAATCCACTTTCCTCCTTCAGAAACAAATGGCCAAATCTCCTATTGAAAAACCCAGATCTTCCAATGTAAGTTAACTCAATTACCCTATATTTTTATTTCTCTTATCCATCATCTTTCTCCAATGTGCTAAAAATTATTTTATAACTAATTTTATAATTATTTTTTATTTTACTGAGGCCTACCATACAGCAATCACTCTAGTATTAACAACCCTAATACATACATTCACATGTGACCTTTCCCAAGTTCCATTTTTCTTGTCCTGTATTGTTAGTCTTCCAGTTAAAAGAAAGAAATGCACTGCGAACTATAATTAAGATATACATCTACTACCTATTTCTATTTTCTCATGATAGTCTCATTTCACATCCTCAAGGGACCTATAAAAATCTGTCTGCTTTTGAAGAAAACAAGAATACATACTGATTTCTACAAAACTTTCAAAATGAACTTTCTTAAAATGTTTAGAATTAAATTCAGATAATTTCTGAGTTTTTTTAAAGAGCAATTATTTCTAAAAAGTTTTTAACCAAGTTCTAATTCTTACTTTTTAGTCATTTTTTCCAAACTGTTCTTCTCAAACCATTATTTAACTTTCCCTAGTGAACTTACATTCTACAGCGCTGACTTTATTCTGCTGCTAAACAGAGAATACCTTTACATCACTTGCACATAAGAACACACTATGTGCTAAAACTAATGTTTAAAGTAACTTTATACCAGGAAAGGGAAATTGAAGTACAAAAAATAATAAAGTAATTCTAGACAACTAAACTTTGGTCAAGATACAACAACTTCAAAAAGTAGAGTTCATGAACAGCCAATTTAAGAATGTTGTAGAAGGGAACTTGAGATTAAATGGATTTGGAAAGAGATCCGAAGCAGTTATAGGAATTCAAACAGGCTGAAAAACATTCTGTGAAGACAAAGAAATTTCAAAGGTACTGCATAAACCATTGTAGTATTTAATAATTAGGAATGGGATGGTCTTTCCTAGCAAAGGTATAAGGGCAGGCCAAAGCGGCATGCCGAAAAGCAGAGCAAACAGGGCCGTGAACCCACAATGTTTGTTTACTCAGCAGAGAGGGTCCTCAGCCATACACCGTTATTTTGATAGCAGTCTCCACCATAAAGTCTTTAACTCTGAATACACAAGATAATAATACAGATAATGATGTCAAATTACCTGTTTAGAAATTAGTTTTTGCAGCTCAGAAACTGCTCCTTTCCTGCTCCACACTTCAAAGCTGTTTCCTGCTTAGGATTAAAAATATGTGTCACTTAAGTAAATTACTTACACCATGGGATAGAGAACAAATACTACATTTTTGGTCTAAAATGTGTTTAGAAAGATCAACAGAAGGGAAAAAATATAATCAATATTTTTAATTCAAGTTACCTCAATGCTTATGGAAAATGTGATATACATAAATGCTTAAATCCTCCAAACTTCTAAAATGTTACCAAACAGCAAAGTGACATCTACTTCGTAATAGCATAACAAAGATGGTTAGTCCAATTATCCTTTAATAGTCTATTCCAAAGTTTACTCCTCTGACCGATAGAGCTTCCTGTTACTCAAACTATTTAACAACCTTGCATATCCGATGATTTAAAAACGTTTGCTCATTTAAAAGATAACTGCTGTACTTCATAACATAAAATAACCTTGTCAGTACATAAATACTAGGTTTACCTTCAGTTCATAAACTATATTATACTGGTGTTCGGTGGCCTTCACCAGGAAGGTGCTAGGGAAAGAAAGGAGCAGGTGCACCCGAGGCTCTGCAACACCCACTCCCGTAACCAGAGAACACCAGTAGGCGGAGTCTGGAAAGCAGTTATGGGGCGGGGGTGGTAGGGGCGCCCAGAAAGCCCGCTTCTTCCAGCGCCCAAACACGAACCGTCACCCGTAAGGCACACAATACAGACCTCAATCCGGCCAAAAAATAAAAATTAAAAAAAAATTAGACCAGGCGAGTTCCTGAGGGGTGGGCGGCAGGACGCAAAGTTGCACGCCCAGCTTCCCCGGCAGGGCCTAATCCCCAAACGCCAGTTTCTGCAAAGCAAGCAACGTCTCCCCAACCCCACTTGGCATTTAGTCTTTCCCGCTTCTAGGCCCAATTCTAACTACATCTGCAGGAAGGGACGAAGAAGCCGCGAAAGGAGAGAGTGAGGGAGTTACTCCATTAATATTCCCAGGAACGCCTCCCCGGCCCCTCGGCTCCCAGAGCACCAGAGACGGCGGAAATCCTGCAGCTCAAAGCCCAACAGCAACTCTTCAGAGTCGCGTCGCTCCTCATCAACCCTTCTGCACCCCAAACTCTAGACACCGAAAACCGCACAGAATAAAATGTGAGGAAACGGGGGGATGAGGACTATGGCCACCAAGGCCTGTTTCTCTGAGAACTCGACCCCGTGCCCCTGGCACCCAAACCAGCCCCCTCCCCGCTTCCTCCGCCCGCAAGGGACATTCCCGGAGCCACCGGGACGCAGGGCGACCTCCCCGGCAGGGCCAACAGGAGGAACGAGGAGGCAAGAAGGGGGTCCTGCAATCGCCAACGCGTCCCGAGGTGCTCACCGGGGACCCCGGCGGTCGGTCCTAGGGAAAGGGGTGGACTCTCTGCCTCAGTGGCTGGAAACTGGCGGCAAGAATCCCCGGGAGCCTAACGAAGAGGCGTGGGCCCGCGGCCAGACCCAACCGGGTCAAGTGTCCCAGTGCCGTTACTCTCCCGCCCCTGGGACGCGCCGCCCTCGGTTGCCAAGGGCTGGGGACGCGCAGGCATTACCTGTATACGAAAGCAGCCTCTCCCGTTAAGGGCGGAGCGGCGGTCAGCTCCCACGACCCGCCACCGGCAGCGGTCAGCCCTCGGAGACCGCAGCAGGGAGGCCTCCACTTTCCCTGGCTGCCTCCGGCCCAATGGCCGCCTTTTAGACCTGAGCTACTCGGCGGCAACCGACGCAGCCACCGCCATCTTAGGATCTCATTGTGGTGGGAGAAGAGGGGCGGGGGAACTGCAGAGGGGGCGACGCGCGGCGGGACGTGCGCCGTCTCCTCGGCAACGGCCGCGCGGGGGCGAGAACTCGCCCGGGCCGCAGCCGCAGTGCGATCTACGCGCTAGACTGCAGTCATGTGACCCGCCGGAGTCCGTGTTGTCGCTTCTGGCTCCTTAAGCCGAAAACGGATTACACGAACGAATCCCCCCGCCCAGGGACTACGTATCCCAGAATGCCAACTCGACCTCGCGTTCTAAACGCCCGCCTGTCACAGGAGGATGGACTACAAATCCCAGCATGCTTTGCGCTTCCAGCGCTGATCGCGGAACGTGCGGCCCTAGGCCTATGCGGAAGTGGATTGATCCCCCTCAGCCCGTGGAGAAAGATTGGAGGCGGGATGCGACTTTCCGTGGGGGTGTCAGCTCCGGCCCGTGCCGGAAAAAGGAACCAAGACCAGCATCGCTCTCTGCTCCTTCCCCACCCACATCCCGGTCATGAAGAGATGGGAACAAAAGGACCCTTATAATCTAGTCCAACTCCCTAATTTTACGTATGAGGGAGTTGATCCACGGAAATTAAAGTTTGCCAAAAGTCATGTGTAGCTGCTGAGCAGGAGAATCACAAATGTTGATGTTTAATGCCACTTTGGTTAATGTCCTGTTCCTTAAAAGAACCAGATGATATTAATCCAAACTTGATTTCAATAAATTTTCTCTGAATTCTCTTTTATTTATACTCTTCTGTTAGCAGCTCTATTAAGATGAGTAAATTGGCAGGTTTCCTCTTAAAAAAAAATAAAGTTACAAGGCCTTCAATGTGACTGACTGGAGTGTTAAAACATCTGTGAATTTCAGTTGTGTGCCAGGGCATTCTAGTTTTACACAGTTTATAATTATGGGATAACTTTTTAAGCAAAATAAAGGTAAAAAGAGGTGAAGAATCGCTTTCTGGGTTTTAACAACAAAAACATTGTTTAATTATCAACAAAAATTTTTCCCGAAAAAGTAGATCTGCATCTCACTACACAATTAAAATAAAGCTCTTCCAACCCACTGCAATTCGCCCCCCTAGCTTCAGTTGTGACTGCAATGACCGTTTGCACTAATACTTGTTTGTCACTCTTTGTGTGTGTCTATCGCTAAGTACTGAGAGAGCAAAAATATACTCCCTGCCCTTGAAGAGCTTCTGTTTTAGTAAAGGATGGGGAAGTGGAGTGTGGTAAGTGCCGTGGGAGCTCAGAACCCAGAGCAGCTAAACGCTCAGGTGTTTACTGTGAGCCAGAATACCCTACCCAAATTCCACCACTCTAACATCTTGGACAAGTTACTTGCCTTTCTGAGCCTTAATTGCCCCACCTATGAAACGAGGAGGAGAGAATAATACTGCCTAACTTGAAGCGATTTTTTAAAAATGTCCTTAGAGTTTATTTTATGCCAGTCACAGTATAAAGCACTTCAGCTGTTGTGATTTTCTTAATCCTCACAGCTACCCTAAAGAGGCTGGTTCTGCAGCTGATCCATTTTAGCAATGAAAGATTATACAAATCAAACTTCTAGTAGCTACAAGTGGTAGAGACTAGATTTAAACCGAGGTCTACCTGCTTCCTTAAAGGTTTTTTTTCTTAATTAAATAAAATGCACATAAAAAACACTAGTATATGTTAAGGCCCAAAATATTAGCTATCATTATTTTGTTTTATACATATGTATTATTAGTAAACATATGTAGAAGCTGTTACCATTAAAACAATTCTAATAAATTCAAAAGCATGAGATTATAGTACCTATTAGTCATTATGTTGTCTGAATTTATAAAGTCCCAGAAGGTCAGTACTATTATTTGTTAGGAGGTAGGAGGAATTTGAGAAATATTTACATTGAAAAGCGGTTCTCAAATTCAAATATGAGCATTACTGATCTTTGTAGAGAAAGAAGGAAAGAAAAAAACCAAAAGCTATAAAATTATCCCTGGCTTTCAGAAATTTAACATAATTTTGGAAACAAGCTTTCTAAAAATGAATCAATTTAGTATTAGTAATGTGTCACTATGGCAAACACATGATGTAGACACTGATTGCTTTAGTAATTTAGATGTTAAAAATAGGGATGTTTTGTCTCAGAGATAATGACAGCTCCAGGATTTACAGGTAGGATGAAATTAGGTGCAGCAATCTGTGGAAATGTAGGTAAGAAACAGAAGAATGGCCTCTAAGAGATAAACACTGAAACCACATTTCAGTTTTCTGCATTCAGGAGAATAACCTAACCCATGTGTTAAGTATGCAGGGGGTGGTTGGGCATGGTGGCTCAAGCCTGTAATCCCAGCACTTTGGGAGGCCGAGGCAGGCAGATCACGAGGTCAGGAATTTGAGACCAGCCTGACCAACGTGGTGAAACCCCATCTCCACTAAAAATACAAAATTTAACCAGGTGTCGTGGTGCACGCCTGAAATCCCAGCTACTCAGGAGGCTGAGACAGCAGAATCACTTGGAACCGGGAGGTGGAGGTTGCGGTGAGCCAAGATCACACTACTGCACGCCGTCCTAGCAGACAGAGTAAGTCTCCATCTCAAATAATAATAATAATTAATAAAATAAAAAATAAATATGTAGGGATGGAAGTTCAAATGGCAGAATGGTGTTCAAGGAAGCGGAATACAGCAAGAACACAGACCAGACATCCACAATAAGCAGTTGGCAGCAAGCAGACTGGCTGGAGTAAAGAATTTACATGGGGTAAGTGATAGGGAGGTGAGAGAAGGCAAGGTTTATTACCAGGTTGGGGCCCCACTATAGAAAGTCTTAACTACTTAACGAGTTTGGCTTTGTTCTTCAGGTAGTGGGAAACCATTTGAGACTTTGGAAGAGGTCAGTGCTATATTAAAATGATTATTTTAAGACTTCAGTCTAGTAGTGATGTTTTGTACAGACTAAGAAGAAAAGACAAGGAGAACAGGTGCTAACCTGTCCTGAAAAAGGCTTAGCCTAAGGTAGCAGCAGAATGAATAAAGGGATTTAATTTTTTATTAACATAAACTAAATCAGTTGTTGTGATGTGAAACTACTAATTCTGTTTCTTGGTATTTGGTAGGACACTAACCAGGTGGTACTTATAAGATAATATGGCCGGGCATGGTGTCTCATGCCTGTAATCCCAGCACTTTAGGAGCCCGAGGCAGGTGGATCACGAGGTCAAGAGTTCTAGACCAGCCTGACCAACATGGTAAAACCCAGTCTCTACTAAAAATACAAAAATTAGCCAAGAGTGGTGGTGAGGGCCTACAATCCCAGCTACTCAGGAAGCTTAGGCAGGAGAATTGCTTGAACCCAGAAGGCGGAGGTTGCAGTGAGCTGATGTCGCACCATTGTACTCCAGCCTGGGTAACAGAGCAAGACTCCGTTTCAAAAAAATAAGCTGGTGCTTGTTTATCTATTTAATATATTCTGTATGCTCGTTATCCGCGATTGTAAGCATGGCTACAACAGAAACCCAGCCTTGTGTACTTTTTATCCTTTGAAAAACAACTTTTCTGCAATACCTAGTTTTAACCTGCAGATGGCAATAGAACTTAAAGGAAAAATCTTCAGTGACCAGTACACTCTAACTGGATGTTATTTGTTTTTATTATGTGATTTTTTGATACATCCAAAAGAATATATAACCTACCTCGAATTCTATAGTACAATAACGATAACCGGGCGCATTAGCTCACGCCTGAAATCTCAGCTACTTGGAAGGCTGAAGCTGGAAGATCACTTGAGGCCAGGAGCTCCAGACTAGCCTGAGCAACTTAAGGTGACTGTTTCTACACATACATACGTACGTACGTACATACATACATACATACATACATACATAAAATGAGCCACACACTCAAGAGCCCACAGTCTAATCTCAGAAATAGAATTTAATCAAGATGTGCCCAGGCACAGTGGCTCACACTTGTAATCCCAGTACTTTGGTAGGCCGAGGCAGTTAGATCATTTGAGATCAGGAGTTTGAGACAAGCCTGGCCAACACGGTGAAACCCCGCCTCTACTAAAAATACAAAAAGTAGCCAGACATGGTGACGCAAGCCTGTAATCCCAGGGAGGGAGGCTGAGGCAGGAGAATATCACTTGAGCCCAGAAAGCAGAGGTTGCAGTGAGCTGCGATTGTGCCACTGCACTCTAGCCTGGTGACAGAAAGAGACTCTCTCAAAAAAAAAAAAGAAAAGAAAAGGACTCAAATGTTTAAAGCCTTCTCCTCGCCCCACTTTTCTTCCAACTCTTTCTTCTTTGCAGACATAAATACTATACTGAATTCAATGTTATCTTTCCTTCATTTTATTCATATAACTATGGATATACCTAAATAATATGTTTTATTTTGCTTGTTTTCAAGCTTTATATAAATGATATCATACTGAATATATGCTTACTTGACTTGATTTTTTCATTCAACATTGTGTTTCTGTGATTCATCCATTTTAATGGGTATAAAAACCAAATTTATTTATTTATTTTTTTTAAATTATACTTTAAGTTCTTGAATACATGTGCAGAACATGCAGGTTTGTTATATAGGTATACATGTGCCATGATGGCTTGCTGGACGCATCAACCTGTCACCTACATTAGGTATTTTTCCTAATGCTGACCCTCCCTTAGCCAACACATATGTTAAATATGCAGCGGGTGGCCAGATGTGGTGGCTCACGCCTGTAATCCCAGCACTTTGGGAGGCTGAGGCAGGCAGATCCCCCCACCTGACAGGCCCCAGTGTGCAATGTTCCCCTCCCTGAGTCCACGTGTTCTCATTGTTCAACTCCCACTTATGAGTGAGAACATGCGGTATAAACACCAAATTAATTAAGAGGAGAAAAATACAACTTGGCTTTGTGGGTAACTAAGTGGAAGAAGAGATTGGTCAGTCCAAACACAGGACTAATCGGAGGCCTCTGACCTAGTTCTTACACTTTTTAGTTAAATTTTGGCACTGTTAACTTCTCTACCTTTTAATCGCACCCAGAGTGTCTGAATCTTGGTACCATTGACAGTTTGGGCTGGGTAATTCTTGTGAGGGCTGTTCTGTGCATTGCAAGATGTTTAGCAACATCACTGGCCTCTACCCCCTGTATACCTAGAGCAAATCCCTGCCCCTTGTAAAAGCCAAAAATATCTCCTAACATTGATTGCCAAGCAACCTCTGGAGTTTGGGAAAGGAGATTTTTCTTCCATAACTCTTTTGCTCAAAAACTTAAAAGTTGACATACATAATCTAATCAACCAGCCATTATATAATTATATCAACTAATTCTATCATGCATAAGTAATATATCAAGGCTCTTTTTACCTTGCCCTGTTTTCCCTAGATCTAATTACCAGAACATCTCTCATTACTGCCTAGTTTGGATTCTTTATTATTAGATTTAAAAATACCCAATTGCTGCTGTTGACATACAATATTAACTTGTATGACAGTCTGAACTGACCTTTCCTTCATAACCAATTTATGTCCTTTTCTTTCAAAATTACTCATTCAACAAATGTGACCCTTGTGATTCTGACAATTTCATCTAAATTTACATTTTATCAGTTTTCACATGGCTTTACTTCTACAGAATTGTGATTACTACATGATTCTTCCTATATTTTTCTTGTATGTATGTTTGGGGGGTTATATGTTTTTATACCGTCTTCTCTATTCACTGAAAATCTAATCAAAGCTGCAATCATGTAGTAAAGTCTTGTGTAAATTGCCTGTTTCCCAAGACATACCAAGTTGGAGAGGTTTAAATAAAGAGATATGAGTAACAATTTTTTAAAACTACAAGGAAAATAATGTATATCTTTTTCCTTGTTTCCCACCAACCCTATAGCAAAATAGTTAAACCAGAACTATATAACTAGATATATGTTGGTAATTAAGTAGAAAAATTACATAATGAGGTGAGAGAGTTCCAAAAATACGGAAATATGGACTGATATGGATTTTGTTTCCTAATTCATAGGAAAAATGTTACAAAGGCATGAAAATTAGACCTCAGTTTTTACTTTAAAAACACTGTTAGTCAAAACAAAATGATGCAAAATAAGGACTCACAATTGTTATGGTTATACAGAGTAATCTGGAGTGATTTTATAAAATATGGTCTCCAGGTGAAATAAGTCTTTATTCACAGAAATAAGGAGAGCTGCAGGTGACAACCGGATTTATAATATGCATCCATATGGACTAGCAGAGGCGTATGAGGCACAATTGGGGTTGCAGTGATCCACATTAAATTCACGCCATTATGTAGAAAACTGACAGCTATGTATATTATAATTTTATATTTTATCATAAAAAGGCGTCCACATTGCATTTCTCCTTCCATGAGAAAGATCCCAAAGTCAGGGGAGAACTAGAAAAACATGTGTGAACTCAGATTAACCAGGCAAGAGAGAATGCCCTCTTTTTACCAGAGGAGTACTAAATAATCTCCCAGGCTAAAACCAAGGATTTTGATGGCGGGCCGGACTATCCAAGACTCTCCCTGATTTAGATAAGGAAACAAGTATAACCCTGAGAATAGGTGAAACACACTGGTATAGAGCAGGGGTTGACCAAACTTTTTCTGTAAAGGACCAGATATTAAATATTTTCATCATTGTATGCTATACAGTCTGTTTCAGTTTCTCAACTCTGGTTGCAGAATGAAAGCAGCTATAGACCAGCATATAAACAAATGAGCATGCCTATGTTCCAATAAAACTTTATTTGTAGACACTGAAATTTAGATTTTATATAATTTTCACATGTCACAAAATTTTGATTTATTTTATTTCAAGTACTTAAAAATATAAAAATGGATCATGGGTCCAGTTTAGACTGTGGGCGATACGATAGTTTGCTGGCCTCTAATGTGGAGCACTAAACACTTAATTTCTTAGATACTTAATGTTAGGTAAGAGAAGAAATTAGCAATAGAAGAAAATACAGTTTCATTACTTTACAGGATGGTTATTTTATGAGTACTACTTTGAACCAACAGAAAGGGAGGATATAAATCCAGTATAATGGAACGATATTTGTAGTGTGAATTAGTACCATATATTTTCTTGTATACTGGGTTTTGTTTTTCCCCAGTCAGAGTAGATGTAGGCATGCATTTCCTTTGAGAATTGTCACAGTCAGCAATACTAGAAACAACAGATGAAAAAAGATTGGCAGTGGTCAGAGCAGTTCCCACTCCTCACAATTTGCCTGGGTGGAAAGAGGATGACTTGGTGGGAAATCAAAAGAATGGGGTGTTTTCCCTTGGATAGCTGAAAAGGAAGAGGGGGAAGATGGAGCAGCAATCTGTGTAGTCCCTGAGGCTGAGGTCCCTGTGACCAGAGCAAGAACAGACAGTTGTTGTGACATTATACAAACTTCACACCACCCCAAACCCCAGAAATCATATGCAATCCCCAGGCTGGAGAGAGATTCTAAATTCTGATATGATGCTGAAATGAGTGGAGAATTCTATTTCGCTGAGCCCCTAAAATGGAGCCTTGAAATTCAATTAGAAAACAGAGTTACAGCTATTTCACATGTAAATTGTCATAAGACCCAGACCCACTTAACTTACATAGTACAAATATCAGTTACCTGAATGCTCTCAAGCCTTGAAGTTGGTGGGGAAACCATGTTTCCATCACATCTACAGGGGAAATCTAACCTCATTTGCTGGCACCTTCCAGGATCTTTGGAAGTAATGTTTTTCTATTATTTGCTGCTTGTACTAAATTATTGTGATTTCCCTCAAGTCTAGCCTCTTTTGACTGTTCTTTTTCTCCACTCCACATCATTCCCAAGGCAGAACACAGCCTCTTTCCCTGTTGTCAGATTTCACAGGTACGAGGCATCTCTGCACAGTAGATTCTCGCTGAAGATTCAGCAATAACCAAAGAAGGCAGGGGAAGAGGAAGAAGAATTTAGGTTGCAGCAAACATCTTAAAACCGACTATTTAAAGATTTTTGCTCTTGAAAGATTCTAGCCCAGAACATCTCCTTGGCTGCCTCTTGCTCAGCTCCGTGGCATCTTGATGCATTCCTTCTTCACATCCTCCTCCCCATTCTTATCTCATTGACTCCTTCCTTTTTCATCCCTTTCCTCTTGGGTTACCTATGGCCATCTGTCATTATCTTCTGCAGCAATCATCCCACTTCTGATCTGGCGAAAGCGTCTCATAGAGTGTGTGTGTGTGTGTGTGTGTGTGTGTGTGTGTGTGTGTGTGTGTGTTAGATAAGAGAGCTATAGAGGATTGGGAAGATGTGGTGATCAAGACTCTCCTGGTAATGTTATGCTCCAAGGTCAGGTTGCCCTCAGTGGCTTGAGCTTCCGCTCTGCTTCTTCCAAACTTCACCCGTGATTTATGTAGATCCCTGTACAGGCTGAAATTATGTTCTAAGGCTGGGAACCCCGCAGCCTCTGTGTAAAGCTAACAAAGCCCGGAGCAAATGGATAAGACCCTGCTTCTAGAACAATCTACTTCAAGTCTAATTGTGGCATATGTGACATTAAGCAAGTTGTTTGCTCTCTTTATGTCTCAGTCATCTCATTGGGAAAATTGGAATTAAAAATAATAATACATATCTCAAAGGGCTACCATGGAGATTACATCAATTAATACATAGGAAGCGTTCAGAGAATGCCTGGCTATAGTAAGTAATTTCTAAATGTTAGCACTTATCTAAGTTTACAGAGAAGGCTCTGAGCCAATATGGAGTTGTGACTACAGGGTTTCAGGATCCATTCCCACACTCAGATTTTAACCACAAAGAACTCACAGCATGCCAGGCTGGCTGGCTCATGATGGCTTTAGCCATTGGGACTACCTGAGCAGCTTCTGGATACTGACGCTGGGACTAGCTAGATCACCACATAAAAAAAATCAGGCTCTCTCCTCCACCCAAGATGCTGAAAGGAAAAAAGGCCAAGAGGAAGAAGGTGGCTCCGGCTCCTGCCATTGTGAAGAAGCAGGAGGCCAAGAAAATGGTGAATCCCATTTGAGAAAAGGCCTAAGAATTTTGGCATTGGACAGGACATCCAGCCCAAAAGAGACCTCACCCACATTGTGAAGTGGCCCCACTATGTCAGGTTGCAGTGGCAGAGAACCATCCTCTATAAGTGGTGTAAAGTGCCCCCTGCGAAGAACCAGTTAACCCAGACCCAGGACTGCCAAACAGCTACTCAGCTACTTAAGCTGGCCCATAAGTACAGACCAGAGACAAAGCAAGAGAAGAAGCAGAGGCTATTGGCCAGGGCCAAGAAGAAAGCTGCCGGCAAAGGGGACGTCCCCACTAAGAGACCACCTGTCCTTCGAGCAGGAGTTAACACCATCACCACCTTGGTGGAGAACAAGAAATCTCAGCTGGTGGTGACTGCACATGACATGGATCCCATCGAGCTGGTTGTCTTCTTGCCTGCCTTGTGTCATAAAATGGGGGTCCCTTACTGCATTATCAAGGGGAAGGCAAGACTGGGACGTCTAGTTCGCAGGAAGACCTGCACCACTGTCACCTTCACACAGGTTAACTCAGAAGACAAAGGCGCTTTGGCTAAGCTGGTGAAAGCTATCAGGACCAATTACAATGACAGATGCGATGAGATCTGCCGTCACTGGGGAGGCAGTGTCCTGGGTCCCAAGTCTGTGGCTTGCATCGCCAAGCTCAAAAAGGCAAAAGCTAAAGAACTTGCCTCTAGACTGGGTTAAATGTTCACTGTTGAGTTTTCTGTACATAAAAATAATTAAAATAATACAAATTTTCCTTCAAAAAGGAAGAAATCGGATTTTATTTTGTTGATTGTTGAGTTGATGGAGAAATTCCAAGCCTTTTTAAGTAGAGAAGTAATGTGATCTTTTTTGCATCAAGATAATGGTTTATACTCTGTAGGAGACGGTCTGCATGGGGAAGAAACTGGAAGTAGATTGATCAACTAAGAGAGAGATACCAGTAGATTATGCCAAGGTGATGGAGACACAAATTAAGGTGGCAGCGGCAATGGGGCTGATGAAGACAGTTTGTCATTTAGAAGGTAGGATCAGCAGAACTTATTGACTAACTGGAAATGCAGGCTGAGGAGGAGGAATGTTTTCTGATAATCCCAATATTTGGGAGTGGGTAAGAGTAAATGGTGGTTTTGCCAACTCACTAGGTTCTTTTGAAGGCAAGCCTTTCCTCCCAAGGGGAGAGAAGAGAAAGAGAAGAGACTATAGTAAGTTTAGTCTGAGCTAGCAGGCCGTTGGGCAAACATGTCTGGAGTTACAGTGGGAAGTAATAGCTGGAATGAAATAGCTGGGAGTTGTTAAACACTAACATTCAACGGACCAACAAGGAAAGAATACTCCATAAAGTACAGATAGAAAACTTGGAGGATACCCAGAGAACTAAGAGGGACGGGTTTTATAAAAGCCTGTCGAAGAAGAAGTTTCAAGAAAGAAGGAGCAGCCTGAGAATTCAATGAGAAACTGCCGTGAGGAGTCTTGTGGCATCATTGTGAGCAGCTGCAGTTGCAGTAAAGACACCAGAAGCACTTCATAGAGGAGTTCATGGAAAGAGAGACCATGGGACCAGTGAGTGTGGACTGTCTGCTTCTTAAAAAAAATAAGCATAGTTGAAATGGAGAGAAATAGGAAACTTGCTAGAGGCAGGGATAAGAGAGGTTTTAATTTTCTAGGTTTTAATACACTTGGGCTTGTTTTAGAGTGAAAAGGGGAAATGACTGTGGAAGGAAAGGGTGAAGATAAAAGTGAGAAAGTGGAAGGTGATCACCTAGCTCTAGAGAAGAGAAGAGGAGCTGGGGATTCAGAAAACAGGCAGAAGGATTATGTTAAAACGAGTGGAATCAATACCACTGAAGCAACAAGGGCCTGGGGTTGGCAGATGTTCTAAGGCTGGGAACCCCACAGCCTCAGTGTAAAGCTAAAAGCCCACAGCAAATGGATAAGACCCTGCTTCTAGAACAGTCTGCTTCAAGTCAAGTCGTGGCATGTATGACGTTAAGCAAGTTGCTTGCTCTCTTTATGTCCTAGTCACCTCACTGGGAAAATGGTAAGTAAAAATAATAATACATATCTCAAAGGGCTACTATGGGGATTATATGAATTAATACATAGGAAGCGTTCAGAGAGTGCCTGGCTCATAGTAAGTGATTTTTAAATGTTAATACTTATTTACGTTTACAGAGAAGGCTCTGTGCCAATATTGAGTTGGACTACAGGGTTTCAGGATCCATTCCCACACTCAGATCTCTTGCCACCTGAGAGGAACATTCTGATGTGGGGCTCTCAGAGGTGTCAGTAGCTTGGAGCCTCAGTGGTCTATGACTGTACCCCACTCATTAGATACTCTTCGGCTTTTCTCCCTGTTCCATCTCACTTGACCACTCCTTTGTTTATGCTACCTGGAATCACCTCCAAATCAACTACTTGTATCCCAGTCTTTGTCCCAGGCTCTGCTGTTAGAGAATCCCAATTTAAACTGTTGTTGAGTAAGAACTTTATCCCAGACATTGTGAATCCAGGTCTTAAGAGTTTTCAGCCAAATCATACTATTTCCTTTTACTTTGCCTCTTGCCAAACTGGGTACATGCCATTTCCCAAACACATGTCCTTTTTGCTTCTAAGTCTTTATTCACACCAGTAGTATTACATCATTAGATTCAACAGTAAAGGATAAAGATCTTCTGAAGACCCATGTATGCAAACAGTAGTAGCTGTCTGCCCGGCTTCATTCTCTTTCTCTTGCGTGTGGATATCCAGTTGTCATAGCACCGTGTGTTGGCAAAACTATTCTTTCCTCATTGAATTGTCTTGACACCTTTGTTGAAAATCAATTGACTGTACATGTGATGGTTTATTTCTAGTCTCCATTCTATTTCATTGCTCTCTGTCTATTCTTATGCCAGTATCACAATTCCTTGATCACTATAGCTTTGCGATTAGTTTTGAGATTCAGGAGTGTGAGTTGTCTAATTTTATGTTTTTCAAGATTGTTTTAGAAGTATTGTTTTTAATTGGCATAGACTATTTACATTTAGTGCAATTACTGTTTGGGTTTGTATATGCCAACATTGTATCAGTCAGTCAATCAGAAAAGGAAAGTTGGGAAATCAAAAAATCACAAAGCAGCCCTCTTGAAGCAGTGACACGGATGGAAAGGTTAGAGCTTATAGGGAAAATAGGATGCCAGTGATGTGCAGCTACTCTGAGCAGGATTGGCAAGGAAGCTGCTGAGGTCTGCAGCTAGTGGCAACTGTAGTTTGCTTTTCATTTTCTTTATTACATTTTTAGTGTCTTGTGCAGCTTAATTACTGATTGCATTAAGCTTTCACTTCTCTTCCCAATCTGGTCCCTCAAGCTTGGCCTCCTCAGTAACTGTCTCATGCCGTCATATACAGTTTTTATTATATTTTATCTACTTTTCCATTTTCTTGCTAGCAATTTTGTTCTGCTACAAGGTCTTCCATTGCAGATTAAAGAAGTTCCTTTCACCTTTTTTTTTTTTTTTTTTTTTTTTTTTGAAATGTAAAATTCTTATGCTACGGCGTGGATAAATTTGGGAATTTTAGTAAAATGACTTTAGGAGTGTATTGGCTGCATCAACATTCACTGCTTCCCCATTCCACAAATAGTTCTACGTTATTAAGAATAATGTCATGACTGTTTAATTCATTCCGTAAAGAATGAGGCAGCAGGCTGAGCATGGTGGCTTCCTCATCTAATGTTGGGATTACCTTTATAAAATGATTTATTATCTTATGTGTACATTGCTGCCTCACTCTTTTTTTGAAACAGGGTCTCACTCTGTTGCCCAGGCTGGAGTTAATTGTGTGATCTTGGCTCACTGCAACCTCCACCTCCTAGCTTCAAGTGATCCTCCTGCCTCAGCCTCCTGAGTAGTTGGGATTATAGACACCCACCACCGCACCCAGATAATTTTTATATATTTAGTGGAGGTGTGGTTCCACCATGTTGACCAGGCTGGTATCGAACTCCTGACCTCCAGTGATCCACTTGCTTTGGCCTCCCAAAGTGCTGGGATTACAGGTGTAAGCCACCACATCCAGGCCGGTGCCTCATTCTTTACAGAATGAATTAAACAGTCATAACATTGCTTCAAGACAGAAGGAAAATTTATTGCAAATTTTCTGTGTATCAGGCATTGTCATAAGCACTTCATGTAAGTTATCAAGTTTGACCAAGTTACCAATTTTGAATCTTTACATTATATGCTACTACAGATAGGCAATATTATTATTCCATGCAAAATAAAAATATTGGAGCTTCTACTGAATGGTGTGCATATGCTGGGTGCTGTGGATATTGAAATAAGAAAAGCCCCTCAATCTCCCTGGAATGAGAGGAGAAGCTCCACTACCCAATAGTGATGTGTGATATAAGGGAAGTAAATACACAGGAGAACATCTAGCCTTGGTGGATGGCTAGGAGAAGGGCTTGTGGCTAAGCAGGGCTTATTTCATTCAGAAAAGATACATGGAAATTAGAATAGGCAAATAAAAAGGTAACAACTATATACAACACAGCAATAGAACAGGACACATGTAATATGGTTGATTCATTAGTGAAAGAGTCACAGGAGATGAGATCTTAGGCTTGCTTGCCAAGCATCTTTATTGAGCCAGGCAATCTTCCATTAAACTGGATTGATCCCCCACTTTCATTTCTCCTGAAATCCCCTAATTTTGTAGCAGGAGGATGACGCATACTGTGGAGATTTCCTTGCTCACAAGATTCCCCCAGTAGCCACATTTGTCAAGAATCTGTGGGCCAGGGAGCAGAGGTGTGGCCTCAGTGTGTGGGTGCCATATATCTAGGTGTACACTGAAATACAGACGACTGGGCCAATTAGATTCTCCCTCTTAGGGCTGTGAGATTTGTCCGGAAAGACACAGATGCCAAAATTCCCCTGAAACTAAAACATTTTAAGGGCTGCATATTACAGAATAAATCCAAGAACTCATCTTCGAGAGATTTTTGGAGCTGTCCTTATTCTGCCTTCCCTTGGCTTGTATCAGTCTGTCATTGATTCTATTATTTATCTGAGTCAGTATCCCTCCACAAATCCAATTATTTTTGCTCTAGATGGCTGAAGTTTATTTCTTTAGATTATAAACAACAACAACAAAAACTAGTATGAGTGTATGACTCTGAAATGGGGCCTCAATATTTCAGAATCTTGATTGCTGGAGTCAAGCACACAATGTCTATTCCAAAAGTTCTAGAATTTTTCCACAATGTCACTGAAGGAGAAGCAGGACACAAACATTTCAATCTTAGAGGAATCACTTTGTCGTATACTCTTGGTCATGGATGTGGGAGTTGGGTGCCTAGCCTTTGTTTTTCAGGGAGTTCTAGTTATTGGCAAAGTCATCCAAGTGCAAATATATATATATACACACACACATATACTATACATATATATAATATACGTATATATATAACATACATATATATATATATATATATTTTTTTTTTTTTTTTGAGGCAGAGTCTTGCTCTATTGCCCAGGCTGGAGTGCAGTGGTGCGATCTCGGTTCACTGCAACCTCTGCCTCCCCGGTCCAAGCTATTCTCCTGCCTCAGCCTCCCAAATAGCTGAGATTACACGTGTGCCACTGTGCCTGGCTAATTTTTTGTATTTTTAGTAGAGACTGGGTCTCACCATGTTGGCCAGGATGGTCTCACTCTCCTGACCTCATGATCCACCCGCCTCAGCCTCCCAAAGTGCTGGGATTACAGGTGTGAATCACGACAC